GATCATTCCTACCAACTTTCAGTTCAATCGGCCCAGCAGAACTTGACTTTAAGTTTGAAATGTAAAATGTTAACGGACGACGGACGACGACGGACGAAAACGGATAGCAATAGGTCACTTGAGCTAAAGCTCAGGTGACCTAAAAATCTTCTTCTCCAGACTCGGAGGTACTACATTCAATTTCAGTGCATAAAAAGAAAGATAATCAGGGACTTTTTTTAAATTGTTAATCTCAGGACCCCCAAGCTATCCGTTCTCCCTTGGGGAGGGGGTAAAGTTTACTACAGTTTATATAGGGAAATAACACTTTTGGGTATATTTTATCCATTTTCAGCAGAAAATTACTCAAACTTAGTCAGAATCATCTTTGGTGAATGAGGGTATTACATTGTGAAATTAGGATTCCTGCCCAATCTCGATTAATTTTCACTTTGGGATCAAACTATTTTTGGTGGGCCAGTGACTACCTCACTTTTGACAACATTTGGTCGCCAGAGCAAGACTTGAATCGCCATTGGCGAGCGGAAGACTGTCCATTTCAGGCACTGCTGCACAACAAGGGAACAAGGGGAACCTACATATAAAATTTGAGAAAGATCCCTCCCGTACTTTCCAAGAAATAGCGGTAACAAACCTTCACTATCAAAATCCAAGATGGCTGCCTGTCGGTCATGTTGTTTATCCAATCAGTCTCAAAAGTTGCCCTGCACAACTAAGGACAAAGGGGAACCTACATTTAAAATTTGAGAAAGATCCCTCTGGTACTTTCCATAGAAATAGCGATAACAAACTTTCACTATCAAAATCCAAGATGGCTAGCCGCCTGTCGGCCATGTTGTTTAACTAATCAGTCTCAAAAAATGCACTGCACAGCTAGGGACCAAGGGGAACATACATATAAAATTTGAGAAAGATGCCTCTAGTGCTTCCCGAGGAAATAGCGATAACAAACTTTCACTATCAAAATCCAAGATGGCTGCCTGTCGACCATGTTGTTTATCCGATCAGTCTCAAAAGTTGCCCTGCACAGCTAAGGACCAACAGGAACCTACATATAAAATTTGAGAAAGATCCCTCTGGTACTTCTTGAGAAATACAGATAACAAGAATTGTTTAAGGACGGATGACGGATTTAAATAGAATAGAAAATGTACATTAATGTGTAAAAAACTTCGATAAAATTTGATGTGGACCATTCTTGAGTGGAAATAATTAAGGTTGTATAAATACAATGTAAATGTGCCGAGCCCCTCCTGCCCACACAATTCCAATAACCCAGGTGGAGTATAAAAATGGTCTGGGGTGGGTGTTGCAGTATCTGTGCTGTAGCATTCAAGCGAGGTGGCACTATAAATGATACCGTTGGAAGCACGGTCCCACTACAAACAGAACACAATACATCTCCAGCATACAAGCAGGCATACACACATAGGGAGATATTAGGCAGGTGGCAGAGGACTAGTAGTTAGTGCCTGATAAGGCAGCTCCTGCGAATTCCTCAATATTGTATTGATTAATATAAAAACGCTAATTGTATTGACTGTATAAAATTATATATCTATTTACTGTAAAGCACTTTAGAGTGGCTTATGTTAGCTAGATAGGGCGCTATATCAAAAGTTGTATGTTGTTGCTATCTATGTGGAAGGCCAAAGTGGTAACCACTCTATCAAATTCACCTATGTGCACCATATGATAGAATCCATGAATTTCTTCTTGATATAATGAAGTGACAAACAAAATGCGTAAATAAATGGAGATTTAATAATGATAATTTGTTGTCAGGATTTATAATCATGCATATTGTTTATTTGAGAACAGTCTGTTGCCACACTCTCCACGATGACTGAACTCCCGTTGTACAGTGTTTCCTGCTGTAAACAAAGTTCCAGGGACGCCTCTGTGTCCAGCAATGTACCACAGCTATGCAGGAACATCCGTAATTTCTGAAACATACAATAACCATATAAGTGTGAGACGTAAGATCATATTTAATCATTGTCCAAAATTTTTAAAAAAAATCGTAGAATAAGACAAAATCTTTATTTCATCATCATCTATCATATCTTAGAGCTACAGGGCAACAACTGATATCACAAACTGACTTTTCCTGGAACATTTACAACTTCCATCAACAGAAACCACTCGACCATTCATAAACTTTCCACGTGTGAAATGTACAACAAGTTGAATGAGGTCCTTACCTGTTTACTGCCTGTGTTGTTAGTATTCACAATGTTATTGAAATCAGCAACACTGTCAATAACTCTTCCTACTGTCCAAGTCTGAAATACACAGAATCAGTACATTAACATTCATCTTTCCATATGAGCAATCCTCATAATCAAATATTGTTTTAATGTCACGGTACTGTCATAATCATTCTTTTGTGCCTCTTTGTATTTTGGCACCAATTTGTAAGAGCAGATCACTGTAAAATACAACTATAAAAGTATGCATTCTACCCTTTTTTAAGTCTTCATTTAGCCTCAAGTGATAAATCAAGTAAAAATGTTTTGATTTGGGCTTTTTAAGGGGAATTGCAGGAAAAGATTATTCTCTTTTAAAACACGTTTTTATATATAGATATATGTTTATTTCATCACAGAAAAACAATACATACATACTGTATCTCCAAACTTTCAATGACAATTTGATTCTTTGTTGACATTTAATTCTATTTATGAAAATGAATCACGTTTTGGCCTCCAAACTATGTATCTGATTTACAATTACCTTGGAGAAGAACATAGGTTTGGTTTTCTGCTTGCTGTCCTTGGGTAGGTAGACAAGGAAGAAGACCCTGCTATCCTGAGGAATGCCCTTGTCTCCTACAGCGTGCATCTTCAGCTTCATCAACACCACCTTGGCTGCCGTCTTACTTGATTTACCTCCTTTCAAAGGTGCAGGTGATGCTTTGACAGGTTTTGATGCTGTGAATTAGGACATAAAACTTCAAAAACCATTAAGAACTTTAAAAAAAAAATAACTACAATAATTCAAATACAATATTTTCCTCAAAAGGAATATTTCTTATCTTGAAATTAGTATTTTTGTATATCGAAATGCCTATAATTTGTTTATATTAGTTAATATATTGAGATAAAGTGAAATTTTTGTCTATCTTAGCGTTTTGGTTAAAAATTTGTCTATAGATACATGAAGTTTCTTTCTAAGCATGTTTTATTAAATAGCAACATGACTATTACATCTACCAAGATTCAAGAAGCTTTATTTAACGTCGCATATACATGTAACATAATAACATTAGCACTGTAGTGCTATTCTTGCGACAAAACATATATATTTTTAACAAGGATCACAGTACTTATGAATAAATATAAAAACAGGACAACAATTCAAATTAGATATGCTAAAATTATACAGTAGAGCATATAATATCACATTTGAATGTCACACAAGTGTTGCAAAAGACAAGTTAAGACACTATACTAGTGTAATGTACATATATGCTAATGTAGCAAAGTGTAAAAATTTACAGGATATACACTGATATAGTGTGAATTAAAAAGAGACAATGAAGTCATAAATAGAAACAGAGCTATAATTATGATATTGTAAAAAAGTAATGATCTTTTAAATAATGGAGCTCAAATCTAAAATAAATATCAATTATATAATAAGTATATTACTGAAGTATATTAAATCAAATAACACAAGCAGCAGTGAAATTAAATAGTTGTAGTATAAAACATGTAGATAGATTCCAAAGGGGGACAACTCACACTATATGGAGTGTGCAGATAGCACATGAGCAGACATTTTTGTTCCAGGTGCGGAGCAGCCCACGAAACGACTTATAGTTTTCAGCTAATTGAAGTTCATTTGGTAGGCTGTTCCACACCTGGGAAGCGACAAATCAGAAAGATCTCTTACCATATGTGGAGGTGTTCACCTTTGGAATCTTTACCAGATTATCTTGTCTCAGGTTGTAAAAAAAATCTTTCCTCTCAACAAGATTTTATAAAATAGCAAAATATTCTCATTAAATATTATATTGCACTAAAAATATTTCTCTCGCAAACTTTGTTGGCTCCATCTGTTGAAACTACCAGCAAAATATTATTATAAGATTCTATGCTTTTTTATTCTTCTTCAGAAGTTGCTTGACATATTTTTCCCTGTGATCTTGTCAGTAGGACAATGTCATTTTCCTTCTCAAATTGGTTAGCTCTATTTCAAAAAGCTACCAGCCAAATCTTATGAATCCATTCCTTTTAGTTCTCAAGAACAAATCCATTAAAATGTTGTTGACCTCTGTGACCTCTAAAGTAGGTTGAGGTCATTTTCATTTGCAAACTTTGGTGAGCTCTATCCCGGGAAGTCACCAGCCAAATATTATAATTTTATGCCTTTTAATTCTTCAGAAGAAGCTGTTTGAACTGTTTGACATATTTGAACGCTGTGACCTTGAAAGTAGGTCAAGGTCATTTTCATTCGCAAACTTTGTTTGGCTCTTTCCCAGGAAGCCACCTGCCAAATATTAAGATTTTATAACTACCAGTTCTTCAGAAGAAGTCGTTTAAAGTGTTTGACATATCTGCCTCATGTGACCTTAAAAGAAGGTCAAGGTCATTTTCATTCTCAAACTTTGTTCGGCTCTTTCCTAGGAAGCTACAAGCCAAATATAGAGATTATATACCTTTCAGTTCTTCAGAAGAAGTCGTTTGAAGTGTCTGACACATTTGACTCCTGTGACCTTGAAAGAAGGTCAAGGTCATTTTCATTCTCAAACTTTGTCGGGCTCTATCCAAGGAAGCCATCAATCAAAAATAAAGATTCTATACCTTTCAGTTCTTCAGAAGAAGTCATTTGAAGCTTTTGACATATATGACCCCTGTGACCTTGAAAGTAGGTCAAACTAGTTTTCATTCTCAAACTTTGTTGGGCTCTATCCCAGGAAGCCACCAGCCAAATATAAAGATTCTATACCTTTCAGTTCTTCAGAAGAAGTCGTTTGAAGTGTTTGACACATTTGACCCCTGTGACCTTGAAAGAAGGTCAAGGTCATTTTCATTCTCAAACTTTGTTGGGCTCTATCCCAGGAAGCCATCAGCCAAATATGAAGATTCTATACCTTTTAGTTCTTTAGAAGAAGTCGTTTGAAGTTTTTGACATATTTGACCCCTGTGACCTTGAAAACAGGTCAATTTCATTTTCGTTTTCAAACTTTGTAGGGCTCCTACCAACGAAGCTTTCAGCCAAATATTATGACTCTAGGCCTGTCCGTTCTTCAGAAGAAGTTGTTTAAAGGAAAAGTTGACGGATGAGGACGGACGGACGGACGGACGGACGGACGGACGACGGACGACAGACGACGGACGGACGACGGACACCGCGCCACGGCATAAGCTAAGCCAGGTGAGCTAAAAACCTCAGAGGCCATATCTTTCATACGTTTTACATGTAAAAAATCAAGTTTGTGTTTTCTAAGAATATCAATGACTGGGGAAACATAATCATTTTCAATAGACAAAGTGCTCGTTCCTGAACTTTTTCCATTTTTCGAGTATTTGTCAATGTACAAAAGTGCCAGGCAAGTGGACAATAGTTAAAATTTGATAGAATAAAAGACTTAAAATGGTAATTTTTCCTTTCTTTGTAAGATTGTTTCCCAGTCTTTTTAAAACAGCAAGTTGTTTAGCAGCATTTCTGCAAAGGCGAGATATATGTACATCAAATTTAAGAAGATAGTCAATATCCACACCTAAAAGTTTCACACTGTCTTCACAAATAATCTCAAGGCTTTCAATATTAAAAGATTTGATAGTGTTACTATTCTTTTTGCCAAAACATATTGCCTGACATTTCTCTGGATTGGCTTTCATACCATTAAGATCAAACCATTCTATAAGAACTTTGCTCTCTTTTTCTAATCAATCATTCAAATATACATAATTGTCACAAATCTTAGAGAGCGTGTTGTCATCTGTACCAGGTACAAATATGCATATATTACAAAAGGATGGGAAATCAATCTGTATAGAGGATGTTGAATGTATATTATGAGAGCTCAGTTTTCTTATATTGTTAACTAATTGATATTCCGATTTTGCGTATTGCAGAGTTATCTTCTCTTGGGAGCAGGTATTGATTGTTACGTCACTTGTTTGTGAGAGTAACCTCATTAATTTTTGAGAAAACAACGTAATTTTCTCGCACAAACCAATGACATAATAATCAATACCTGCTTCCAAGAGAAGATAACTCTGCAATACGCAAAGACGGAATAGTCACTTCCAAAGTTGCTAATACTGTTTTCAGAATCGGTAGTGAGCAACACAAATAAGGTCCTGATTTATCTTTACACCAAGGTATTTGTATCAGAAATTTGGGTATGGTCCAAGTAACATATGATCAAAGCTTTTAACTAACTGGTTTAAATGCAAAATTAAATTTTGATAAAAGAAAATCCTACACAATTACCTACCAATGATTTGACGGACATGTTCTGCAGTTTTTGTTTTATCTTCTTTCAATTCCAACTTCTCACAATTATGATCTGATTGATGACGATGGCTAGAAATAAACAAGTATAATAGAACCTTGTCATGGAAAAGTTATCCATGTTATTAAATTGCAACACATCATAGATTTTATGAACAATGATACTAAAATATCAAATCGGATATGGATTTCTTGCCAACTAGATCAGGATATTTGTATTTCCGGCGTCGCTGGAAAATTCTAGCCAACCCACAGGGCTGTATCGCTTACATGCACAGACTGACAGGGGAATTATAGTGACCTTTCGGGGTCACGCTATTGTTAATGACGTCATTTTATAACGTTTTTGGGTCAGTCAGGGTCACTGACGTCATAAAAAATTGCCATCCAGGCTTCATATGCAAATGAGAAATGTGTGGACATTTTATAACTTTACTAGAAGAGCAGCTGTTTTTACAGGTTTTAGGTAATAAGCATGAAATAGAATCCATCCCTGATGAGAGGTATGGATAAGGTAATTCAAACCCTCGGGATAAAAGCCTCGGATCTCCTGCTCAATATTTTATCCCTTGAATTACCTTATCCATACCTCACATCAGAGATGGATTCTATTGGTGTATACTCAGATAAGCTCAGATACCGGGACACACCAACCCATCAAGGGAAAACAGAAAACAAAAGAAGATCAGAAAGACCTGAGAACACTGACAAAGAGGTATAAGAAGTAGACAAGAGAAACCAACATTATAGGAACTGAGGGTGGATTTCAGAAGAAAGCTTAAGGTCCTGAAAAAGGAAGAGGAAAGCAGGAAAAGAAGGAAAGAATTAGCAAGAGCAAGGACAAGATTTACTCTAACACATTCCTATTCACATCCAAATGGCTTGGAAAGAAGACATCTGAAGGCTGCGGAATACGCTGGAGGAAGTAGATCATTTGAAAAGGGTGCACAAAAATCGAAGGAGGGATGAAAATCATGGAGAGTGCAGAAAGCTGGCATCACCAGAGCGGAGCTATGAAACAACATGGCAAGAGGTGAACGAAGTTATCACAATCAAAGGAGATATCAACCCAATGGAATACCTTACAAGTCCCAGGCTTACGGTCAGTACGGAGAGGCTATGGAGGATGTGAAGACATAACAGCAAAGGCCATATCAACCCAATGGAATACCTTATAAGTATACAAGTCCCAGGTTTACGGTCAGTAAGGCTATGGAGGATGTGAAGGTATTACAGCAAAGGCCATATCAACCCAATGGAATTCCTTATAAGGTATACAAGTCCCAGGCTTACAGTCAGTACTGAGAGGCTATGGAGGATGTGAAGGCATTACAGCAAAGGCCATATCAACCCAACGGTATACCTTATAAGTATACAAGTCCGAGGCTTACGGTCAGTACGGAGAGGCTATGAAGGATGTGAAGGTATTACAGCAAAGGCCATATCAACCCAACGGTAAACCTTATAAGTATACAAGTCCCAGGCTTACTGTCAGTACGGAGAGGCTATGGAGGATGTGAAGGTATTAAAGCAAAGGCCATATCAACCTAATGGAATTCCTTATAAGTATACAAGTCCCAGGTTTACGGACAGTAAGGCTATGGAGGATGTGAAGGTATTACAGAAAAGGCCATATCAACCCAATGGAATACCTTATAAGGTATAAAAGTCCCAGGCTTAAGGTCAGTACGGAGAGGCTATGGAGGATGTGCAGGTATTACAGCAAAGGCCATATCAACCCAATAGAATACCTTATAAGTATACAAGTCCCAGGTTTACGGACAGTAAGGCTATGGAGGATGTGAAGGTATTACAGAAAAGGCCATATCAACCCAATGGAATACCTATAAGTATACAAGTCCCAGGCTTACGGTCAGTCCGGAGAGGCTATGGAGGATGTGAAGACATAGCAGCAAAGGCCATATCAACCCAATGGAATGCCTTATAAGTATACAAGTCCCAGGCTTACAGTCAGTACTGAGAGGCTATGGAGGATGTGAAGGCATTACAGCAAAGGCCATATCAACCCAACGGAAAACCTTATAAGTATACAAGTCCCAGGCTTACGGTCAGTTCGGAGAGGCTATGGAGGATGTGAAGACATAGCAGCAAAGGCCATATCAACCCAATGGAATTCCTTATAAGGTATACAAGTCCCAGGCTTACAGTCAGTAAGGCTATGGAGGATGTGAAGGGATTACAGCAAAGGCCATATCAACCCAATGGAATACCTTATAAGGTATACAAGTCCCAGGCTTAAGGTCAGTACGGAGAGGCTATGGAGGATGTGAAGGTATTACAGCAAAGGCCATATCAGCCCAATGGAATACCTTACAAGTATACAAGTCCCAGGCTTACAGTCAGTTCGGAGAGGCTATGGAGGATGTGAAGGTATTACAGCAAAGGGAGAATCTGTGGAAGGTTGCTTCATTACAAACGGGGATAGTTCAAGAAAGATATCAGTTTCGGACAATTTTGCCGCTCAATGTCAAAGACAAGATATTTCTTGCTGTCCTAGCAAAAAGAATGACCAACTACCTACACAGCAATAAATACAATGACATCTCAATTCAAAAAGGAGGAGTTCCTGGCGTATATCGGGCTGTTTTGAGCATCACTTTGAACATTTTGTTGGATGCTTGGCATATGAATCACTCAACATTAAGAAAATAGAGCCGGTTGATTATGGATGATTGTCAAAGGCCTGATGGGCCTTCCAATCCAAAAAAGAATAAGGTTTCCCTTAATAACTCCATGATCAATTAACCTCAACCTCTCCAGAATAGTTTAGGAGGGGTGTATTGGAATCTCCCTGTCCAATCATCTGTCTATCAGGAAATAGTTCATTTTTTTCAGTTACATTCAAAATTGTTTAATGACAACAAAATCTAAACAAGAGGCCCAGGGGCCTTAATAGCTCACCTGGTATTTCATTTTCAATTAAAAACCTGCTGAAACTATACAGGTTTATCAAAGGAGTACAAGAAGCAAGAAGCAAAGTTGCAAGAAGAACTATGTATACTTGTAAATCTGTTTTGCTGCCTAAGACACCAAAACAATGAGTTTCCATGTTATGTCCCAAAGAGGTACATATATACCCTCCAGGGGCTGAGGAGGGGTTATGGGGGTGGGGCACATACTCTGTTGAAAACTTTTCCCAAAGATGCTTTAGAAGAAAATTGATTAAAAACCCTTCATTAGAAACAAAAATTGCACGGAAGTAGATATGTCGCCTGCGCAGGAAGCTGGGAGATTGTGCTTAGCACTGCATGAAGTTTGAGATTGATCGGCCCAAGGAAACTCAAGTTATCACACGAAAACAGATTTTCTATTGATAGTAACCGTGACCTTGACCTTTGACCTCCGGACCTGAAAAGCAATCCCAAGCAAGCACTTTTGGTAAGGAAGCACTGCATGAAGTTTGAGTTTGATCGACCTAAGGAAATTCAAGTTATCGCATGAAAACAGATTTTCTATTTATAGTAAGTGACCTTGACCTTTCACCTTCGGACCTGAAAAGCAATCCCAAGCAAGCATTTTTGGTAAGGAAGCACTGCATGAAGTTTGAGTTTGATCGGCCTAAGGAAACTCAAGTTATCACACGAAAACAGATTTTCTATTGATAGTAACAGTGACCTTGACCTTTGACCTTCGGACCTGAAAAGCAATCCCAAGCAAGCACTTTTGGTAAGGAAGCACTGCATGAAGTTTGAGTTTGATCGGCCCAAGGAAACTCAAGTTATCGCACGAAAACCTCTGTGCGGACGCCACCGCCACCGACGCCAGCTTTTCACAGAAACACAAAACGCAACACAAAAAGAAGAAAGATTATAATTTTCCTCTATTTCCCTTACTGGACCTCACATGCCCCCTTCTGCCCCAAAGGGGGGGGGGG